AACCCGCATACGTGCATTTTTTTAAAACGGAAATTTAAATACAATTATTAAAATCTGCATTTGAACTAAGATCCATTATAAGTAGTTTACACAAAATAAAAGTTTTAGGTGTTATCAAGTTTAATTATTAAAACGTCAAGGCTTTAAATGTAACTATACAGAGTTAGGTATAGGTAAATGAATATTAATTGTTGGTGATAAAAGGGTTCTAGCTAGGCTATAAATGAATGCTCGCGCGTGTGTGTAGAATCATACACTCCTGTACATGGAACACCTGTATGTTGAGCTCACGGGGATAGGCTGTAGGTGTGTTAAATAGAAACAACTCTTTATGGAATGTCCCTAAGAAAGTCAGGGTCACAGAGGACAGTAAAAGAATCATTTTTATCTGTAATGTTGAAATGGAATGGTCGTTTTAAATGAGTAATTGAATGTCGTCGAAGATTTAAGCAGTACGAATACTCCTGGAGAGCGATGTTTAATAAATTCTCCTCGTTAATTATCTGGTTCTGTTTTCTTTATTTTGCAGTACATGATATACTCTGATGAAACACATAACTCGATTAAGGTTCGTGATGTTTTATACAATGGGATCTACCTTCAAAGTGTTTCGATGCTTTGACTCTGATATTGGCAATAAACAGGGTTCATATTAAGGTTATCGAACTTATTTCTTGCCCCCTATTAACCTTTCGATGTTGATCTTGACGTGTTTGTTTACATGAAAATTACTTCCTGGCCCATTCAATATTTCTTTATTTTAAACTAGACATACCATGAGTATGCATTGAGCTCTCTAAACTCGTATGATTATAATGACAAAGTCCATGTTTTAATAAGTGTCAGATCAGAAAGTAAAATAGGAGGTCACAATTGTACTATGTAATGAAATAATCTGTGAGTGCATCTTTAAAATGTTTATCAGTGATATGGGATAACCCGGATAAGTTACAGATAAGAGATGGGTACCCTTCAATATCATAGACAAGACGGCAGTGTCCTTGTTTTCACAAGGGTAACACATAATATGTGTCAGATCAAAAAGTAAAACAAGAGGTGTTTGTAAAACACTTATGCCCTACTCCCCCAAATAATTGGATTTTTATTAAGTCGAAGGGGCATATAACTATTTCCAAAATGGCTCGATCGTACGGTACCCAAAACCGAACTTGACCTCGACATTCTTATGATAAATCTGTATACCAAATATTTCCATATGCGGGTGTTGCTAAAACGCGGAACGGAAAACGGAACGGAAAGCGGAACGGAACGGAAAACGGAATATATTATTTTGGATTAAATCACTTAAAATATACAAATTTTATCATAAATGCTATATCTTGTACACATTCAATTCACCACTATTAAATACAAGTTGATATTGCCATGCTCAGTCTTTTATTTACGAAAATCGCAAACATATCAGTCACCTAGAATCGAATTTGAAAGGGGGGGGGGTAAACGAACTCTTAAAGTATTTGACAAGCAAAAACACAAAAAAAGAAAACAATTGTTTGATTCGGTTGGGGGAATAAGTTTCAACTCCAGCATCTTTCAGACTACAGTAACTACTACATTAATTTACATTCACAAAAAATTTAACGATGTCAACTTGAACGAACATTTCCGTAGTAAAAAGGTTATGACAGGGGGGGGGGGGGGGGGGGCAAATATTTGATATCTAGATGAACCATGGACAGAGAAATAAAATGTTTAAAATAATTATTAAGATTACGGTTTGGGCAAACCTTTACAGCAAGCTCGAATAAACATCTCTTATATACACTGGTTGTTAAGATTTTATTCAAAATGGAGTTGCTTTCTATATAATTAAATTCTCGAGACACAAAGTTGGAAAACTTCAATGTGGTAGATATATAATGCAGAATCTTTGCATTCAATGAAGTTAAATTTTGTTTGTTTGCGGTACATATGTGTGTAGGGGGGTGTAAATGAATAACCCCGTAAGAAATGAGTTTGTTTTCCCGCTCATCGGAAAGGTCCGAGAAGTTGTAATCGATCTGCCCCTATTTTTATGTAAGGCTTAATAAATCAATTTTTAATGTGGCTTTGGGCCAATACACAGACCCGAAACTGCCACTCCCCCTTTCATGAATCGTGAATTCGACACTGCGTGCATAATCTGAATATCATAGCTAGTTATTTTTGTCTATAAAGATATTGATATTGGAAAGAAATAGAAAGAAGGGTGAGGGGGTCAGTAAATAATTTCCAACATACAACAAATTTGACAAGCGAAAAAAGGGGGATATGCCTTTGCCCAAATACGATAATCCTAATTCGTGTCGGAAGGGGGGGGGTCGAATTTCTTTCAGTACCATTTTTTCCACGGAGGGTGTGTATAACTCATGAATATGTAAAAGTCTACAATAAATTTTTATTAGAAATGACTTTTACAACAATAATATTGCTCTTTTATCTGATTTATATCGAATCTATATGTTATTTGTTTGACAAAAAATTCCGTTTTCCGTTCCGTTCCGCTTTCCGTTCCGTTTTCCGTTCCGCGTTTTAGCAACACCCCATATATGCAACCTCTGCAAAGAAAATGAACGGAAACTGCAAATAATTGGAATTTTTCTCTGTCAGAGGGACATGACTCTGTCCAGAATAGCACGATCGTACCCAAAACAGAACTTGACCTAGATATTCTTATGATAAATCTGTATAACAAAGGAGATTGATTGATTGGTGTTTAACGCCGAGTCGGCAATATTTCAGCCATATTTCGTCGGGGCCAAAGGAGATGGGCGAACTTAGCGTGTAGAAAGCCCACTAGTTTTAGAGGTATAAAAGTCATATTCAAATTATGAATTTAGTACTTAGAGTAAAGTTCTCATTATAGATATTTATGAAATCATGATAAACAAAAAATTCTGTGGAAAATGTTTCTTATATATATATATATCTATAAATAATGTGATATACATTGGGTTCGAACTCTAGCGATAAAAATCCTGAGTTTCATTCTTTATTGTATCTAGCACGCTAACCACTTCACTACAAAAGTCCTGATGAATTATGGCATTTAAATCTGTGATATGACCATTGACTTACATGTAGTGAACTTCAAGTATTTCTCGAAAAGATATGAAAGCTGTATCATCAGGGACGTAGCATCCGGGGGGGCCAGGGGGGCCCGGCCCAACCCCCACTTTTTTCCCCAACATAACCTTTACTATAGTAAATGTTCATTGATGGGATGGTTGGCCCCCCCACTTTACAACCATAGTATAGTGATAGCAAGGACTGTAAGGAAAAAATTTGAAGTGATAGTAAGTTGGCTTTGAAAAAGTTGGCCACTACCCCCCCCCCCCCCCCCCCCCCCCCCCCCCCACGAAATAGGATTTTCGGGTTTGGGAAATTTTAATTTTTTTTTTTTTTTTTTTTTTTTTGGAAGTAGGTTGGCCCCCCCACTTTCAAAAACAATGCTACGTGCCTGATCATAAAATTATATTTTAAGGTGTGGTCGGTCTTTGCTCCATAATTTTCAAAACCAAAAAAATGTATATTTGTATGCAAACTTTTAGGATTTCAAAAACATGGAGCAAAGACCCACTCATATCAAAAAATAGTGTTATAGTGTGCATGGAAAAATGACTCGTTCTGCCCTCTTTCGTGTGTGTATAGAATATTTCATTGGCAAATAACTTCAATGTTAATGAAATTTGTGCAAGTTGTAGAGGTTTTACATGAAAATATTTTAAAGTATTCAATGTATAATGAAGGGATTTTTAACGTTTTTAATTAATTTTCAACTAGTTAAAAACACATTGCTAGATAACGATAGAAGTGAAATGAACCAAATTCACAAGACTTCTTACATGTAAGGAGACGGTCATTTTGCACATTAAAAGTTTTTGAAAAGTTATCTGCCCTTGATTAAAAGAAGAATTTTTTTGATTTCTCAAATTTCTTTGAAATTCAAATTACTTTTTACAATATCTCATAAAAACACGTGCTGTCCATAGACTTTAAAGTAAAATTCAAGGTGCAATTAATTGGACAAAAATCAAAATTTTGCAAATTCCTTTGGTGGAGCATTTTTATTTGATAGCATCTTCAAAATGTTACCATGATTAAAAATATCAGACCAATCATTTATTAGGTACAAAATATGGTCGTTATACAATGTACATAGAATACCTTAATGTTAGATAAAATATAGGAAAAATTTTGATATAATTCATATTAAATTTTTCACCGTCATGTTTGTTGCACCATAGGCTTATCGCTTGTCGTGTTCACCCATCTTCTTTCATTTCAATATATGCGATATATTCTGCAAAGAATTAGAATGAAATTGATGGTGGAACAACAGACATACCAACCGACAGAACGACAGAAATATTTGCAAGTGGGAATAGATGGAATTGAGATTTTTAGAAAAGTGGAAATAGGTAGAAGACACCCATAAGGGCACTATACAACAAAGACTGTAAAAGTATCGTTAAATTTCATTCAGTGGTATTGAAGGAGTTGCGGATAAGATTGGTACCCCTAAAGTGTAACAGACGGACGGACGTGCAAACAGACGGGCACCCTCATAATACTATATACCACTCGCCCCTAAGTTTCAAAGGGGGACGGGGGCTCTATAGTGGGAGGGGTATCATGTTACGGAATTGAAAAGAAAAAAACATAAAAATTGTTGAAATATAATTGATATAAATTGTTTCAAAATGGAATACCTTATAAAATCCGTGGATATTAGCATTCGTTCAATATATAGAGAAAAACTATTATTACGTTAATAGCGTACCATATACATTTGGCCTCAAATTTCATATCTCGTACGAACATTTTACAATTATAGCGCATTATCCCAATTAGGCGGACACGAAAAGTGCACAAAAAGTTAAAAAAAGAAAAAAGAAAACGAGCAATATGTATAAACAAGTGCATACTCATGATCATTTGCATTTCTAAATTTTATTATCAGTTCTGTCACGGAGGTATAGCAATGAGGCATATATGACCGCAATTTAAGTTCCGTGACGTACCGTGCATCCACCCACTCACTCCTTATATAAAAACAGCAACAGCTGTTACTAACACTACAGGAAATTTTGGTGGTCAAGGTTCTTTGCGTCTTCTACTATCACTTCGGCCATGAAGCTGTCTTTGTTTTGGGTAATAGCAGCATTTGCACCCAGTCTCATACAGTGTGTCCCCAATTACTGGTCATACGGATGGAATAATGCTTGGCAGGTTAGTGTTGATGTTCCTTTACACAAAGGAAATTTTGGAATTCCTATTTTGCAAAATTTTCATACACAAATTGTTTTGCGTCATAAATTAGTAAAAAAAAAAATAAAAAAATAAAACAAAAATGAGGCTTACGCCCAATTTCGATCTATTTAGAATTTTTAGAAGTGTGTTACCTTTTTAAAAAAAAAATATCCATTTACAAGTTTGGCTAAGTGATATATTTTTGAAAAGATGTATACCGAGTGTATTAATTTTTAAATGCGCATTTCTTGCATAAATTTTATTTCTCTTGTATGTTTACTTCTAACGTAAAACAAGAAATGTACGCAATATTATTGTTTTCTTTCTTTTATATTTTTATTTTCCAACATTCTGTAATACACGCAGTTTTATCTTGTTTTTCAACTATCTAGCTTTGAAAATTATAGATTATTCGGGAAGATATTTACTGCCTTTCGTTTCCTAAATTACTAGTTAATTTTCCCTCATTTAACATACATGTATTATGTGTTGGTTAATTCCTCTCATAGTAGTTACATTGATAGCATCTAACCCTCCTGAACAGATGCTTCCATTAAGTAGGGATCAATAAGCTTAATTATCTAATATAATTTGCTGGACGAACGGTTTGTCATATAGGGACTTTCAATGGTACACCGTAATTGACATATTCTATACATAATTCATGCAGTATTTGTTTTGTCAAAAATTTCCGTCGCGGAAGTCTCTGTTGAATAGTTATTATTATCATACATCAGATATTTTACAGTTTTCATGACAAATCATTAACTTATTACAGTACTTGATCCTGTGTGTTTAAAATTGGCCAGGGAAGGGCTATTGAGATTTATAGACCAATTTTATATAATAAGCGGAGAAAAGGCTCATGAAAATATAGCAACAGATTAAAAAAAGGACGACGAAGGGGTCTAAATAAAATAATTCTGACAGCGACATTTGTTACAAGATTCCTTTTAATATCATTATTTAAACACCAGCCTGTGGGGGTGTTTATATCACTTTAAACAATATACGTACCTGTAACAGTTAATACAAGAACGCTTTGCTTCTTAGATATTTTATCTATAATATTCCTTTTTCACTGATGGCTGCTGCATTTGTATGCTAAATGAATGGTTTACGCGGTTTGCTTTGGTAATCTGAGTAATCTATTAAATTCTATATAAAATGAAGCAGGTTTAGGAAAGAGAAAACAAGGTGCATGGATTCCTTTTTATTGCGAGCGTCGCGAAGCGACCTCAATAGACTAACGTGTAAAAATAGAGGAAATTCGGAAGGAAATCTGTACAAATGTCAGGCAAATTTCTCTGTGAAACATTCCCAGAATTTCTTTACTACCCAATGTCCTTTGCGCAAATAAATAAATAGACTAGAGGTACTGTGAGCAATGGGCTCACTAAATGATACCCCCGCTTCCCATAATTTCCATGTGTTGCTATATATTGTTTTACGGTAATGTGTAAAGAGGAATAACTTGTCCTATCAAATGTTATCCAGAAGCTTCTATATGTGACGTCATAGGTACACATATAATGGCAATGTCAATGTTTTGCTATGGGAAACTTAAAATGCGTGTCGAATAAAAAAGTTAAATAGGAGGTGCACAGTGGCAATATGTAATAAAGATTCTGTGAAAGTTTCATTAAAGTTCACTCAGTAGTATAAGAGGAGTTGCGGATAAGAGATAAAGCGTAACAGACGGACGGATGGAAATACCGATTACTATATACCCTCCCACTTTTCAAGCGGTGGGTATAATAATAACGTAAAGCATAAAAGGCTTTCAGTTTGTAGTTTGTCTACACGTATTCCTATAAGGACATAGTCTGAAGCTGATCGAAGGATTATGGGGGAAAGGCTTTGTACGTCATAGTTTATTTATTCATTTCAAGATTTTAAGGAAAGAAATGTTCATAGCATGAAATATGGAGATGACGAACTGAAATCAAGCTCAGAAGTCAATTCAAGTAGTCCATACAAACAAGAAGATGAGCAAACAAGGACTTCTTTACATGAGATATGGGATCAGGTCATATGGAGCAGTAAGCATCTCATGTTGACAGACATACCGGCTGTTTGCTCCATGTCATGCTCAGGCAAACGGAAAAAAATCTGTAAACATTTCATTGCGTTATAATGGCAAAACACCAGAATTCGCCGTAATGCTAAATTTATTAGGCGACAAGGTCTTTGTATTGATCAAAAAACTTGTGTAATAATAAACATGTATATACTTTTTATGAGACTGTTGATATTTTTGTCGTATCAACTTGTTTGTCAATATCATGTCTCGTTTTAAAAAATTTTCTTACTTACGGAGTATTCTTGCTTAGTAAGATTACGATCTTGTTGACATCTTCACGTATTCCATTGAACTATTTTTCTCAATACAATATCCAAATAGGTAACGAACGTGTCATACTTTATTATAGTTTTTATTTCTTAGATATATGGAGTCGACATATGTAATTGAATTAACGATTGTCGATACATCTAATGTCGACTCGAAGGCTGCGTCTTCTTATGTTTGATATATTCTGCTTCGGATGAATACATACATGTTCTTCTGATAAGGTGGCGCAATTGGTATCCCGAGAAATTCCTCCCCCCCCCAAATAAAATGTCGAAAGACCTTTTAAAACCAAAAACTGCATCAAGACCCAATTAGCGTTCATAAATATGAATCATGCTCCGAAGCATAAACTTTGTCGCACTCATTTATGCTCTCAGTCCCGCCTTAAAAAATGAACTTGTGGTGGTTAAGTGAAACAGGTATTTAAAAAAAGAGCTTTATAAAGTTTGAGGCCCTGCAAGAAGCAAGAAGTTGTAAAAGCCTAGGATAAAGCAATACTTTGAAAAATATTACGCTTTTTTCGCCTTTTCGACTCAATACTGAATTTGATATTTTTCAGCAAAGTTAAAGCTCAACGTTACTTTATACAGTTCATACCTGATCTTTTAATTCATGTTTTTATTCATTATAATTTATTTTCACGAATTGTTTTATTATTATTCGTCGGGAATATTCATGGAAGTAATTTGTTTAAGTATCGTAAGATGATGAACGTAATTAATTCCAAATAAATTAAGGCAATTTATGTATGCTGTCATAATATGAATTAAATCAAGCATTGATCTTGAAAGCTTAAGCTCAATGATATTTAAACGTTTCTACTTCTACTTACAGGTATATATTTTTAGTTTAATTGTACATTTCTCATAGCAAAATCGTATTTTTCCTCTTATAAATTTCAGATATATCGAAGACAGAAATTAAAAATATATACATTAAATTAAATTTTAAGACAAATTATGCCGAATATTGACGAAAGTGGGTGGTAGAAGTATCTTGGGCTCAGTACGGAAATCCTATGACCTGATTTCGCGCCAAGCACGATTAAGTGGTCATTGAAAAGTTAAAACCCATACCTTTCCGGAAATTCCATGAACAGGGAAGTGGTCACTTGAGTATCATCAAAGTACTGTAGCTGAAATCTGGGACGGATCTACGTAGCATACTTACTGTTTTCTAGCTGCAATCTCAAAACTATTTGCAAAGTTCATATAATTAAGGCTGTTGAATTACATATTTTGTATTGACTACTACGCTTAATTGACAAGAGAAAACGCTCACCTAAATAACTTTGACCATGTTGTTCTTCACCAGATTCTTCCCCTTGTAATACCTATTGTTGCTCAACCCGGGGTCATGATGTGGACAATGAAATTATAAAAGTCTTTGTTTGTTAGTACGGGAATTAATGTCGCAGCTGTTGAAGAAAAAATACATAACCCGCGCAAGCGCGTAAACCCGCATTTCGATGATCTCAAGTTCAGATATTTTTGAATGAGTGGCACTCTAGCTCTCCAGTCTATCAATGTATATTTTTTCGGAGAGCTGCAGTTCTGCAGCAAGTTCATGAACCAGAAGGCTTTACACCTGTATATTTCTCATTAAGCGCCAACGCGCTTCATCAAATATGCTGGTGTGAAACATCGCAGTTTATGTCCTCATGATTTTTCAAAAATTAAATTTAATTCCTTATTATTCATTTATTCAGAGTTAAGTATTACTATTAATTCACATTGATGTTAAATATTTATTTTCCTTTTCTTTTAGGATCTTCCGTTTTGCTCAAACGATCCTGTCCCATGTGACATGGCTTTGAAAATGTACGCCTCGAAATCTCGCAATTCTCCTGAGATTTACTCCACCGACAGAGAAATATGTACATGTCCACATGGAAACACGTGTCCCAGTGGCTGGAGCACACGTGGAGAAAAAACCATTACAAGAGACATCCTATCAAAAGGTAAAACAGATCATCTCAAAGACAGAGGTGAATATATATTAGTCCGATTCATTGACTGATTATTTTATTACTGAGTGCCACATCTAATGGTTTTGGCACTCAGGACCAGCAGTGAGGATGGTTTTTCACGTCGACGACTTCCTAGTTCAAAATATCTGACGTTTTCTCGACTTTTTTCACGATTTTGATATTTTACATGCTAGGAAAACGTCAGAACTGGCGCCATTACAAAGACATGAAACTTCACTGTTTCCAACCGGAGCTGATTTTCAATACTTGCGAAGTGACTTTAATGCCGAATTTACAATTTATCAATAACGCAATGATACTAGTATACCTACCACCATCGATTTAAAGACAATATTACTCCCTATTTCGATAGAGGCTAAAACAAGTTTTAAAATCCACGAAATTGAAAGAAAACTCGACGGTCTGTTAAAATGTTTTCACTGGGCTGTATATTTTATAAGCAGCCAATAAAAAACGATATTGGTATATATAAGTACTTAAAGCATTGAACTGTTGATAAGTTATGAATTCAGCATTTCATTCGGTTCGCAAATAATGAAAATCAACAAGAGAAAGCAGCCTTCAATTCGAGGCGACAATTTTCCAATTAACGTGAGTTCAGACATTTTCAAGGCACGTAAAAAAATCAAAACCGTAAAAAAGCCTGGAAAACGTCATGTATATCGGGCTTACGACTGGTCATAGACCAGGGGACCTTATATGATATTAAGGAGGTTTCGTCCGTCCGTCTATCTGTGTTTGTACATGTTAGAAAAGTTCGTGGATTTTTTAAATATTTTATTTATTTACTAGTGGGGTGTATTTTTCTTGTATAACAGAAAGCATACATTTCCAGTTAGGATCATTATAAACTACAAAAATTCCTTGACAAGCAAAGAAAAAGAAAAAGTCATCAGACGAGATTATTGAGGGAACACATAGCTATGCCCCCTCCCCCCTTTCCGTGGTACAAAGGGCCATGTATAAAACGACAAACTTCAATATCTCAACTGAAGTGACGTAACCACCAAAAGTAATTCAACCAGATTTAAAAAATACAATTCATCATTGCCGTGTATTTTAGATTCGGAGGTCATTAATAAGGTCGACATTAACGCACTTTGAAAAAAAAAATTCTAGGTTCGTTAACTTTGTATCAGTTTACTTACGAAAAAATCATTGTGCGTAATTTTTTTTCAAATGCGTTGTAACATAGCCTATCATGTTCTTCCTTTTAATATATTAACTTATAAAACATCTATTGTAGGAAAACGAATCGGGATTGCATTGCACTACTGTAACCCAATAGGAGGAGAAAGAACATGCGGTGATGATGAGGTAGCAATGGTGATGGAGGGTGGAAATATTCCGGAAAAAATAAGAAATGTTAACTGTAAATGCCCTAGCGATGACCCTTTGAAAATCAAGAAAAGCTACTACGTTGGCTGGAAGAAGAATCATGACCTTGTCTGCGCCATGGTAAGAGAGTGTTCAGTATTTGCTTTAAAAAAAAGTTTAATAAAATGTACTCATTGCCTCATATTCATTTTAAAAATGCATTACAACTACTATTTCAAAATAATCTTGTTCACAGGAAAGCATCGCCTTTATATTTTTTCGCTGTATTTGTTTACTTTGTACATGTGCATAATATTGTGCTATTTTGCGTTTTAGCCACAATGTAACATCAACCGTTCGGATGGTGGAAAGTGTCAACAAGTACAGCGAGTGAAAGACCCAGTCACTTGGCTGGTATATTACGTTGTTACAAACCTGTGTGAATGTCCAAGTGGTTACGATTGTGTTCAGGAGGATAGACAAAACCTTTTCTATGGCTATTGCCAACGTATCAATGCATAAACTGATGTTTAAAAAGATTTTTTTTAATTTTTTTTGTATTTGCTTTTACTTTTATATTGCTAAATATAAGGCATTTCTGTGTTATAATTTTTACTCATTAGATTACAGTATTGTTTGTATCTTTTATTCATAAGAAAATAAATATGATATTATATATTAAAACTCTTTTTACGGTATATTGCGTACCTTGTTAATAAGTGAACAGCTGAAAGATATAATACACTGTATAAATAGTCACACTAGTCGCGGGTGGTAACATAGTTTTAAGCAGGTGTTGCATGTTATAAAAAGGGCGAAATCGGAAATCAGATATAAAAAGGTTGTACATATCGGGTTTAATGTCTTTGATCGACGAACTAGCGACGATATCTTAGGTTGTTTGTCCACTCTACACTTAAAGACGAGATCAATGTGTGAATCCAACGAAGGAATCACACGATTTTTCCTATGTGCTTTGTTCGTTGTAGGTCGCCTGTTAATTGTAAACATTTTCACGAACTCTGAAACTTATTTTCCTATTTAAACTAGTTTTTTGCTTACCGTAGACGAAGGCTCATGTGAGATTTTCCGTTCATAATCACTTCGCCAATTTTAATCAAACTTGGCTCAGAGTATCCTGATGTTATGGGATGGCACTAGGTACATCACTGGAATGTTAGAACGGTACCTTGGACACCCGGCAACTTTCTGAACTATAAACCAATCGATTTTGAATCAAATAATGGACTTTACGAAATTAAATAAGATTGAAATAACTTGAGATGATGGTTTTTTCTGGCTTAATTTCTTAATTAACAAATCAATCAAATAACTTGTCAATCCTTAGATGATGGTTTTTTCGTGTCGCAGTAGGTGCTGGCACGAAAAAGATTTCTGCTCAAATGAGTAACAAATCAATCATATGAGTGAAAAATTCTCGAGAGGGACGTTAACTAATATACAATCAATCAATCAATCAAGAACAAGATATGTTTATGAAACACTGATGCCCCCGTATGGCAACACAGCAAAAATAAACCTTTTTTTAAATGCAAATTTAATATTTTGGTACCCAAAGTAGGGTATTCTCACAGGAAATACAATTGTGAAATATGACAGCAGACCAAGGTGTAATTTTTTACATCAATACGGAAATCTCCAAGGTCAAAAGGTCAAGGTAATTGGAATCCAATGAAAGGGCTTGCCACAAAAAATACATATATGAAGTATGGAATCCTTAGCCCTAATCCTTCAACAGTTATGGTTAAGGTTAAAAATTTTAACAATTGGCTCACCTGAGAACAACGGCTAGGAAAAAGCACAAATCTGATCAGAACTGAAAGTTTACTGAGGGGAGGGGGGGGGGCTTGAATTTTAACACCCCCCAGGGGGTCAAGATTTGAACAAACTAGAATCTACACTACCTGAGGATGACTCCATATAAATATCACTATCCTGGCTTTGAAGAACTTGAAAAGAAGATTTTAAAAGTTTTCCCTATATACTATATATAGTATTCCTATATAAAACTTTGGTCGGTCATCTTGGCTCCACTCTAGCCCCGGGGGTCATGATTTGAAAAAAAATGAACCTACACTACCTTAGGATGATTCCACATGAGTTTCATCTTTCCTGGCCCAGTGGTTCTTGAGAATAAGATTTTTAAAGATTTTTCCTATATACTCCTATGTAAAACTTTTAACGGCCATATGGCCCCACCCTGGCATGATTTGACCCACTACCTGAGGATAATTTCACAAGTTTCATCTTTCCTGTCTCAATGGATCTTGAGAAGAAGATTTTTCCTATGTATTCCTATGTTAAAGTTTGATTGGCAATTTTGACCCCACCCTAGCCCCAGGGGTCATGATTTAAACAAACTTTAATCTACACTACCTGGGGATAATTTCATATGAGTTTCATCTTTTCTGTCTCAATGGTTCTTCAGAAGATTTTTAAAGATTTTTCCTATATATTCCCATGTAAAACTTTGATCGGCCATTTTGGCCCCACCTACCCTCGGGGGTCATGATTTGAACAAACTTGAATCTACACTACCTGAGGATAATTCCACATGAGTTTCATCTTTCCTGGCCCAGCGGTTCTTGAGATGAAGATTTTAAAAATGTCATTAATTTTTCTCTAATTCATAATTATCTCCCCTTGGAAAAGGGCGTGGCCCTTCATTTGAACAAAACTGAATCTCCTTTACCCAAGGATACTTTGTAGCAAGTTTGGTTGAAATTGGCCCAGTGGTTCTTGAGAAGAAGGTAAAAATGTAAAAAGTTTACAACGACGACAGACAACGGACAAATTTCGATCAGAAAAGCTCACTTGAGCCTTTGGCTCAGGTGAGCTAAAAAGTACATCAAACTCCACGGTCAAAATATTTGATATCAAATTAAAGGTCTTGTCACAAAGATTAAATATGAAAGCACTAGCCCTAGCCCTTCAAAAGTTATGGTCTAGGTTTGTTTTTTAAAGTACGTTAAACTCTAAGGTCAGGTCCAAGGGTCAAAGTTCTAGATATTCAATGAAGGGCCTTCTCACAAGGATTACTTATGTGAAGTATGAGAACACTAGACTTAAGCGTTCAAAGGTTATGGCCAAGGTTAAAGCTTTTTCATAAGTACAGAAATCTTGAAGGTCAAGGTCCAAATGTCAATGTAATTGATATCCAATGATAGGACTTGCCACAAAAAATTCAAATGTGAAGTATGAAAACCCTAGTCCTAACCGTTCAAAAGTTATGGCCAAGGTTAAAATTTTTAAACAGTAGGTTTAATTTCAAGGTCAAAATTCTTTAGATATCAAATTAAAGGTTTTATCACAAGAATTAATCATGTAAAGTATGAAAGTAGTATCTCTAACTCTTAAAAAGTTATGGTCAAGGTTTGCTTTTAAAGTAGGTCAAACTCCAGGGTCAAAGTTCTTGGTATCCAATGAAGAGTCTTCTCACAAGGATAACATATGTGATGTATTGAAAGCACTAGCCTTTACCGTTCAAATGTTATGGCGAAGGTTAAAAAAATTTCATAGTACGGAAATCTCCAAGGTCAAAAAGTCAAACTTGTTGGTATGCAATAAAAGGGCTTTTCACAAAAACCGACATATGTGAAGTATAAAAGTCCTGGCCAAAGGAATATATAGTAGAAAAGTGAGACCGAGATCAAAAGTGAGCTCGTCTAAGTTTTATAACCCCCAGGCCGGCTGGTATCTACTGTTCAAAAGATCTGGCCAAAGTTACAGTTTGAATTTTTGTGTAAAAGTATGTCAAACTCTAAGGTCAAGGTCAAAAGGTCAAATTTGGTGGTAACCAAAGAAAGTTCTTGTAACAAGTAATACATTTGTGAAATATGAAAATCATAGCTCCACTAAATCAAACGTTATGGACAAGGTTAAAGTTTTTGCGGAGAACAGATGGATAAACAGACGGACGGACGGACGGACAAGACAAAAACTATATACCCCCGAAACTTCATTAACGGGGGCATAAAAATACAATTTAAAAGATACGATCAAAATACTCAAAGTATGAATCGTTTAGTGATAGATAATATGACAAAATCTGATTTAAATACAAATAAAAAATTGAAAAGTGAAATACATTACCCCTCCGTTAAAGTGAATAATAATCAGTACTATGACAGTAGCATTGGAAGTACTGTAAAAGTGGTTATTTACGCTGGTTGTTAAGTACGTTTATAATTGTCAAACATTACGCGTGGGTGTATTATACGCGATCGCGCAAGTTACCGAGAAAAATTTACGCGGCCATCGTTACTATCATCGAGTTGTTCCTCTTTGAAAATGTCAAGAAGTTTACACGTACGAAAATGAATTTTTAAAATGGAAATAATACAAACAAAACAGTTTGACATGTGCATGTTCCTTACATTGCTAACTATAACGGCGATCTTCACACTCTTCAGCCGAAGGCTCAAGTGAGCTTTTCTGATCAAAATTTCTCCGTTGTCTGTCGTCGTTGTCGTAAACTTCTCAAATTTTCATCTTCTCAAGAACCACTGGGCCAATTTCAACCAAACGTGCCACAAAGTATCCTTGGGTGAAGGGGATTCAAGTTTGGTCTAATGAAGGACCATGCCCTCTTCTAAGGGGATATAATTATGAATTAGTGAAAAATTAATGAAATCTTTTAAAAATATTCTTCTCAGGTAGTGTAAATTCAAGTTTGTTCAAATCATGACCCCCGGGGGTAGGGTGGGGCCACTAGGAGGGGGGTTCAAAGTTAAATTCTTCTTCTCAAGAATCACTGGGCTAGGAAAGATGAAACTCATGTGGGAGTATCCCCTGGTAGTGTAGATTCAAATTTGTTCAAATCATGACCTATGGGCTGGCTGGAACCATGATAAGGAGTCAAAGTTTTACATAGGAATATATAGGGAAAATCTTTAAAAATCATCTCAAGAACCACTAGGCCATGGAAAACGAAATTCATATGGAAGCATCCTCTGGTAGTGTAGATTCAAGTATGTTCAAATCATGACCCCAGGGGTAGATTGGAGCCAGAATGGGGGATCAAAGGGACCACTTATGCATTTAAGCTTTTAAATACTAAACTGATTTTTGCTTTTTTCCTAGCCTCGGTACTCAGTTGGGCGATGTAGCCCCTTGGCCTCTTGTTACCACACCTGTGCTGAAGGCTCAAGTGAGCTTTTCTCATCACATTTTGTCTGTCATCCGTCCAATCGTCTGTAAACTTTTCACATTGTCATGGAGATTGTGAAAACAGAAGCAAATCTGGAAATTGTTGGATTTACTGATACTGTAAATCACTTTTTATTCGCGAGAACTTTATTTTCGCGTAATTACGCGAGACAGTGTTCTCGCAAAAATTAAATTCTCGCGTGTAATAGTATTCCTTAAGATTTTACAGAGCAATAACCACAATTCGTGAAAATTTTGTCTCGCTAATCAAGAGTCAATGACTATCTCGCGAAAATAAGGTGTCGCGAAAATTTAGTGATCTACAGTACTCGTTTGGGGGAGGAAGCTAATTCTATTTCATCAATAAGAGAAGGAAAATGACAGCAAACACCATGTACTCATGTTCTGCAACTTATGTTTCAAGGAATCGATGGCTTCAGATTTCCTTTTGCACATTTTTTGAGCCATCAAGTAACTGCTAGTTATCTCTATTATAGAGTTTGGGTGGCAGTAGAAAAAATAAAACAAT